CCTTGAGGTCGTTGTGCAGTGCGTGCCCCACCAGGAGCCGGCCCTCGAGCAGCCCCGCCACTTCCCTCTGGACCACGGCGAGCTCCTCTCCTGTGGACCGAAGCAGGGGCTCAGGGAGCACAGCCCACAGGGAGGTGCTCCACAGAGCTTCCAGTGCCCATGTGCCCCGCCCACCCATACCCAGGGGCTGCTGTGTGCCGCCCCACAGCCTATCTGCCAGCGCTTGCTCAGCCTCGCCCTGGGAGACGGGTCACAGCCACACTGGCCGCTGGGCCGGGAGGGTGGAAGCTGAGGGCGATGAGGCAGCGTCGACTCCCTGCCTGAGGGGTCTGCGCCAGCGCCAGTGCTCTCGCTGCGTACCCGTGTGGGAGCCACCCCACTCCACAGGACGGGCTTTGCCAGGGCGAGGGTGGCCCGGTGTGGAGGGTCCGAGAGCTGCCTTGCCTGCTAGGAGCGCCTTGGACAGAAAGCGGGCAGTGAAGGCAGTGAAGTGGAGCGGGCAGTGAAGGCGGGCGGCGGGCAGAGAAGGATCAAAGGGCTCGGAGAGGAGAGCGAATGTCTAGCGGAGACACCGGAGGATCCCCCTGGGCCCAAAGCACTGGGTCATCCTGGTCCTTCATCCCCCCCGCCCCACCAGCCCACCTGAAAATGCAGGGCCTTCCCACCACCCGCCTCCACTTCCGGTCCTGGCTTCAAGGGGACAGCAGGGGACGGTTCCCGTGGTGCCCTAGTCACCTGAGGTGAGAGCCAGGGCTCCGCCCCCCCCAGTGACGCTGCCCAACGCACCCTGCTGAAGGTCCTGGGGCCGGATGCCGCTGATGGCTGTCCGATAGTCGGTCACGGGCTCTGTGGGCCGGATGTACTTGTCGTACACACACTTTCCGTGCTGGTTCACCAGGGATACTCGGGCGGCCATGCTGTCCTCGCCCGTGGGGCCCACGCCCACCATCTCACAGTCCAGGGCCAGGGCTCTGGTCAGGCTGCAGGAACCAGTGGCTGTGGTCAGCGAGCCCTGGCCATGACAGGGCGCTACCATGATGGGAAGGGGTGCACCACCATGACAGGAGGCATGGGGCAGCTTGCCCAGTCCAGCGAGGGGCTCAGAGGAGACATGTCCTCCCTGCAGTCCACAGCCCCCCGCCGCACCCGCCTGCGCACCCGCCGAAGCCCTGGTCCTTCTCCAGGCTGACGCCGCTCCCATGCTGACCCAGCCGCTTCCGCACTATGTCGGCTGCCTCGGGACCCACAGCGGCCTCGATGTCCTCGGGGTCCACGTCATCGAACCAGATGTCATCCCTGAAAGGCGACAAGGCCATGTGCTCTGGCTTCTGGGTGATGATGGTGGCCTGAGCCTGCCAGCCAAGGTGACGCTGGGCTCTCCCAAGGGCGAAGGGCAGGCCTGGGCAGGTCTACTCTGTCTGCGTCCTTGGAGCCCTTTCTGCTCCTTGAGGTGGAGACACACGGTGACCCTGACCAGAGTGACGGGGGTCATCTGTGTCGCCCGCAATGCTGTGAGCCGGGGAGGGACGGACGGCCACCCCGGGTTCACACAGCCCAGCTGGCAGGAAGCAGGAGCAGCTGTCCAGCGACTGTGCTGGGCGGAGCACCACAGCCCGATTTGGGCCACCAGTATCGGGGGAAAGCCACACCAAAGACAAGTAGCAGGTGTGCGCAGGGTGGGCGTCCACAGCGCCAGCAC